GATATTTAAGGCTACTGATCGAGGATTCGGGATGAGGCTATTCTCCAACGATGATTGAGTCCATTAAGCATCGATTTGGGCGGATTTATTCCGGGTCAATTTTTGGCATATTCCAAAGGGGTACCATCACAGATTTCGTGCGATTTATCCGAAATGTCATTTTCTTTCGATTCTGGAGCCTACAGATCATGAAATCAGGCCGACGCTATTGTCCACCGATAATGAAGTCTATTGATCCTATTCTCCAGGGATGATAAGTCCGTTATGCATCGATTTGGGCCAATTTATTTTCGGATGGCATTTTCGTAATTTCTTGTGCGAGGAAAGGCCATGTTCTTTGGATATTGAAAGCTACAGATCACGGATTCGGCCTGAGGCTATTCTTCAACGATGATTGAGTCCATTAAGCACCGATTTGGGCAGATTTATTCCGGGTCAATTTTTCCCAGATTCCAAAGGGGTACCAACACAGATTTCGGGCGATTTATCCGAAATGCCATTATATTTCGATTCTGGAGGCAACAGATCACGGAATAAGGCCGAGACTATTCTCCACCGATAATAAAGTCTATTGATCCTATTCTCCACGGATGATAAGCCCATTAAGCATCGATTTGGGCCAATTTATTTTCGGAAGGCATTTTCGTAATTTGTTGGGCGACGAAAGGCCATTTTCTTTCAATATTGAAGGCTACAGATCACGGATTCAGCCTGAGGCTATTCTCCAACGATGATTGAGTCCATTAAGCACCGACTTGGGCAGATTTATTCCGTGTCAATTTTTGGCAGATTCCAAAGGGATACCATCACAGATTTCGGGCGATTTATCCGAAATGCCATTTTCTTTCATTTCTGGAGGCTACAGAGCACGGAATCAGGCCGAGGCTATTCTCCACCAATAATGAAGTTTATTGATCCTATTCTCCACGGATGATAAGTCCGTTAAGCATCGATTTGGGCCAATTTATTTTCTGATGGCATTTTCGTAATTTCTTGGGCGACGAAAGGCCATTTTCTTTGGATATTGAAGGCTACAGATCACGGATTCGGCCTGAGGCTATTCTCCAATGATGACTTAGTCCATTATGAACCTATTTGGGCTGATTTATACTGGGTCAATTTTTGGCAGATTCCAAAGGGGTACCATCACAGATTTCGAGCGATTTATCTGAAATCCCATTTTCTTTCGATTCTGGAGGGTACAGATCATGGAATCATGCCGAGGCTTTTCTCCCCCGATAATGAAGTCTATTGATCCTATTCTCCATGGATGATAAGTCCGTTAAGCATCGATTTAGGACAATTTATTTTCGGATGACATTTTCGTAATTTCTTGGGCGACGAAAGGCCATTTTCTTGTGATATTTAAGGCTACTGATCACGGATTCGGGATGAGGCTATTCTCCAACGATGATTGAGTCCATTAAGCACCGATTTGGGCGGATTTATCCCGGGTCAATTTTTGGCAGATTCCAAAGGGGTACCATCACAGATTTCTGGCGATTTATCCGAAATGTCATTTTCTTTCGATTCTAGAGGCTACAGATCACGAAATCAGGCCGAGGCTATTCTCCACCGATAATGAAGTCTATTGATCCTATTCTCCACGGATGATAAGTCCGTTAAGCATCGATTTGGGCTAATTTATTTTCGGATGGCATTTTCGTTATTTCTTGGGCGGCGAAAGGCCATTTTCTTTGGATATTAAGGCTACAGATCACAGATTCGGCCTGAGGCTATTCTCCAACGATGATTGAGTCCATTAAGCACCGATTTTGGCTAATTTATTCCGGGTCAATTTTTGGCAGATTCCAAAGGGGTATCATCACAGATTTCGGGCAATTTATCCGAAATGCTATTTTCTGTCGATTGTGGAGGCTACAGATCACGGAATCTTGCTGAGGCTATTCTCCACCGATAATTAAGTCTATTGATCCTATTCTCCACGGATGATAAGTCTGTTAAACCTCGATTTGGGCCAATTTATTTTCGGATGGCATTTTCGTAATTTCTTGGGCGACGAAAGGCCATTTTCTTCGGATATTGAAAGCTACAGATCACGGATTCGGCCTAGGCTATTCTTCAACGATGATTAAGTCCATTAATCACCGATTTGGGTGGATTTATTCTGGATCAATTTTTGGCAGATTCCAAAGGGGTACCATGACAGATTTTGGGCGATTTTTCGAAATGCCAATTACTTTCGATTCTGGAGGCTGCAGATCACGAAATCAGGCTGAAGCTATTTTCCACAGATAATGAAGTCTATTGATCCTATTCTCCACAGATGAAAAGTCAATTAAGCACCGATTTGGGCCAATTTAATTTCAATTGGCATTTTCGTAATTTTTTGTGTGGCGTAAGGCTATTTTCTTTAGATTTTGAAGGCTACAGGTCACAGATTCGCCCTGAGGCTATTCTTTAACGATGATTAAGTCCATTGAGCACAAATTTGGGCGGATTTATTCTAGGTCAATTTTTGGCAGATTCCAAAGGACTACCATCACAGATGTCGGTAAGTTTTTCCTAAATGCCAATTTCTTTCGTTTCTGGAGGCTGCATATCATGGAATCAGGCCGAGGCAATTCTCCACCGATAATGAAGTCTATCAATCCTATTCTCCACGGATGATTAAGTCCATTAATCACCGATTTGGATGGATTTATTCTGGATCAATTTTTGGCAGATTCCAAAGGGGTACCATCACAGATTTTGGGCGATTTTTCCAAAATGCCATTCTCTTTCGATTCTTGATTCTGCAGAAAACGGAATTAGGCCGAGGATATTCTCCACCGATAAGGAAGTCTATCAATCCTGCTCTCCGCAGATGATAAGTCCATTAAGTACCGATTTGGGCCAATTTATTTTCGGATGACATTTTCGTAATTTTTTGGGCGACAAAAAGCCATTTCCTTTGGATTTTGAATGCTACAGATCACAGATTCGGCCTGAGGTTATTCTCCAACGATGATTAAGTCCATTAAGCACCTATTTGGCCGGATTTATTCTTGGTCAATTTTTGGCAGATTCCAAAGGGGTACCATCACAGATTTCGGGCAATTTTTCCGAAATGCCATTTTCTTTCGATTCTCGAGGCTGCAAATCACATAATTAGGCCTAGGCTACTCTCCACCGATAATGAAGTCTATTGATCCTATTCTCCACGGATGATATGTCCATTAAGCACCGATTTGGGCCAATTTATTTTCTGATGGCATTTTCGTAATTTTTTTGGTCGGCGAAAGCCCTTTTCTTTGGATTAAGAAGGTTACAGATCACAGATTGGGATTCAGGCTATTCTCCAACGATGATTAAGTCAATTAAGTACCGATTTGGGCGGATTTATTCCGGGTCAATTTTCTATAGATTCGAAAGGGGGTACCATCACTGATTTCAGGCGATTTTTGCGAAATGCCATTTTCTTTTGATTCTGGAGGATACAGATCACAAAATCAGGCCGAGGCTATTATCCACTAATAATGAAGTCTATTGATCCTATTCTCCCCGGATGATAAGTCCATTAAGCACCGATTTGGGCCAATTTCATTTCGGATTGCATTTTTGTAATTTTTTGGGCGACGTAAGGCTATTTTCTTTGGATTTGGAAGACTACAGATCACAGATTCCGCATGAGGCTATTGATTAAGTCCATTAAGCACTAATTTGGGCAGATCTATTCCGGGTAAATTTTTGCAGGATTCCAATGGGGTACCATCACAGATTTCGGCGATTTTTCCGAAATGCAATTTTATTTTGATTCTGGATGCTGCAGATCACGGAATCAGGCCGAGGCTATTCTCCATCGATAATGAAGTCTATTGATCCTATTCTCCGCAGATGATAAGTCCACAAAGCATCGATTTGTGCCAATTTATTTTCAGATGACATTTTCGTTATTTTTTGGATGACGAAAGGCCATTTTCTTTGGATTTTGAAGGGTACAGATCACGGATTCAGACCGAGGTTATTCTTCAACGATGATTAAGTCCATTAATCACCGATTTGGGTGGATTTATTCCTGGTCATTTTTTGGCAGATTTCAAAGGGGTGCCATCACAGATTTCGGGCAATTTTTCTGAAATGCCAATTTCTTTCGATTCTTGAGGCTGCAGAATACGAAATCAGGCCAAAGCTATTCTCCACCGATAATGAAGTCTATTGATCCTATTCTCCACGGATGATAAGTTGATTAAGCACCAATTTGGGCCAATTTAATTTCGGATGGCATTTTTGTAATTTTTTGGGTTACGTAAGGCTATTTTCTTTGGCTTTGAAGGCTACATATCACAGATTCGGCCTGAGGCTATTCTTCAACGATGATTAAGTCCATTAAGCACCGATTTGGGCGGATTTATTCCGGGTCAATTTTTGGCAGTTTTAAAACGGGTACCATCACTGATTTCGGGCGATTTTTCCCAAATGCCAATTTCTTTCGATTTTGCGGGTTGCAGATCACGGAATCAGGCCGAGGCTATTCTCCACCGATAATGAAGTCTATTGATCCTATTCTCCACGGATGATAAGTCCATAAAACACTGATTTGGGCTAATTTACTTTCGAATGATATTTTTCGTAATTTTTTGGACGACGAAAGACCATAATTTAATCATTGTTGAATAATAATGTCAAACCAAATTTGTGATCTGAAACATTCAAAATCGAAAGAAGTTTCTCAATACTGCAAACCGCGGGAAGGTCAACTCAACGGGCCTACCCTGCCCGTAAGCTAAGGAGGGCAGTTCAGTCTTTGAGGTCGTGGGGCTTAACTCTTTTTATTTTCTTCTTCGAAAAACAAAACAAAACAAATGAATTAAGAAGCTTGCCACGCGTGTCGTGACGTGTCGATCTGACGAAGCTTGAACGAAAGTACAGAGAAGACGGACGGATTTGCGTGTGAAACCCACACACCCGCCAAAATCTGACGGCCACACGACTGACACGTGTCATGGCGCTTCCCCTATATTCCCAAGTCGACGACCAACTGCCACAAAATTTTGATCAACGCGGAGAACAGAAAAACAAGAAAGGTCACGGAGAGAAACGAAAGTGCGAGAGAGTTCGCGGCGAAGGGCAGAAAAGAGGACGGAAAATTGCTGGGTTTTGTTGGGTGATTGATTTTAGAGCACTGTAAAGGCTTGCGAAACGTTCTCTCTGTCGTTGTGGGATTTTGGTGGGTGAAGTAAAAATGGTGGCTGAAGCAGAGGTAGTGGTTTGTCAGCAGAGCGTCGGCGTCCCGCCGGCGCTGGATGTTCAGTTCTTTGCTAAAGCAGTGAGTAGCGGTGGTGGCGGCTTGCATCAGGCTGATTTAATCTCGCCGACGAGGTTGACCGGCCCAATTCGAGTCTCAGACTCCGCTGATTTGTCGGCCTCTACAGAGGTTAGTTCTCTACTTCCTTTCTAATCGATCGTTGAATTCAGGACTGTCTGCGGAAAAAAGAGTGGTTCCATTTTGAGCTGGCTTTGATTTACGGGTACTGGATGGTTGAGTTTTAGAAGAATTGCAGTTATTGGTTGACTTTGTTAGGGTATCGCTTCCATGGTGGCGATCATGTGTTTGAGTTGAAGAGTTCATTTTTAGCATGATATCATAACCTGTTAACCATCTATGAAAAACTCTAGTCATTAGGCTGAATTGGCTCTTCAAAAAACACCGAAGGCCTCTCTCTTCGGCTCACGATCTCTTTATATGTATGCCCTTCTGTAGGATGTTAAGCCCATGCATAAGGTTCTGGATGAAGTTCTTGAGGCAGAAGGATTGCAATTTGTTCCCAGCATCCGCTCTGGTAGTTTTTCTGATATTGGTCCTCGAAGGTACATGGAAGATGAGCATATACGAGTAGATGATTTAAGCACGCAATTGGGCTCATTGTTCTCGTTTCCAAAGCCAAGTGCTTTCTATGGGGTAATTCCTTAGCATCCTGAGATTGTTATAGATCAATCGATAATCTTATGTTCTACTTGGTCTTAATACATTGTGGTTGATTCTCAGGTCTTTGATGGCCATGGAGGACCCGAAGCCGCAGCTTACATAAGGAAAAATGTCATGAGGTTCTTCTTTGAAGATGTCAACTTCCCACAGAGATCTGAAGTGGATACCATCTTTCTTGAAGAGGCAGAAAATTCGCTTAGGAAAGCTTTCCTTCTTGCGGATCTGGCTTTGGTAGAGGAGGGCGGTGTGAGCAGCTCTTCTGGGACAACAGCAATTGCTGCATTTATATTTGAAAGGTATTTTCTTGCTCCAGAACTTATATTATCTCTCACAGTGCAGAGCAGCTTTATGATTGGTCACCATTGCCCAAAGGCCTTGGATTGTGGCATGTGTAATCTAGATAAATCTGAGAATCCAGTTGACAGTGTTTGTCATAATGAAGACTGGTACAATTTTTGGGATTGATTACACAGAAATTACTGAACTTTGGAGTCACTAACTTGCTTTTATGTCCCCCAACTTTGATTTGTAACAAACTTGTTGATGAAATCTGAACCAATAGTGTAGCAGTCTGTCCATCTCGGTCGGATTTTATGTTCGATCCTGAACCTGAAGTTGCCCAAATTAAAATCAAAGTAGAATTTGTAGAAAGAGCCTAATTAGCTGAGATGATTGTAGGGCTCAGGTTGGTTTCTCTTTATTTGGTAACTAATCAACATTTTTCATACCAATTGTGGTTTATTGTTGTCCCATTTCCTACAAGCTGATCCTTTCTGTCCCATTTTAGGCTCCTTCTGGTTGCCAATGCCGGTGATTGCAGAGCAGTTCTCTGCCGGAAAGGGGAAGCCATCGACATGTCTCAAGATCACCGGCCCATTTATCCTTCCGAAAAAAGGAGGGTCGAACAATTGGGCGGATACATCGACGATGGTTACCTTAACGGTGTGTTATCGGTCTCACGAGCACTTGGTGATTGGGACATGAAACTACCCTGTGGCTCTCGGTCTCCTCTCATATCAGAGCCAGAGTTCCGTCAAGTGGTTCTCACTGAGGAAGACGAGTTTCTTGTTATTGGTTGCGACGGTATATGGGATGTCATGTCAAGTCAGCATGCAGTGAGTCTCGTCAGGCGTGGACTGCGTCGGCATGATGACCCGGAACAGTGTGCCAAGGACCTTGTCATGGAGGCATTCCGCCGCAACACCTTTGACAACCTCACTGTGATCATTGTCTGCTTCTCGTCCCCTGATCATCGGGAATCCATGTCGCCTGTAAGGCAACGAAGGCCGAGGTGCTGTAGCCTATCTGTGGATGCTTTGTGTAGCTTGAGAAACTTGCTGGATGGGAATGGCAATCCTTGAAGGTATAAATCAGCGCGATGTACATTCTTCGTCCGGTAAATTTATGAATTCTCATTAGGAGGATAGAGTTGACCGTTTTACGGCCCTGCTTCATTTGGATGGTACCAGGCGAGAAGGTTGAGCACATGCAAATAATAAGGAGCTTGCAGTTCTGTAGGTTTTGTTGTGGTTACTTGTCGAATTCTACAGGTTTTGATATTTTCTTGAACAGCAGGGTCAAGTGGATTGGTGTAAATAGATTGGGTCTGCTGATGTAAAATGTTGTACTGTATATTTACACTAGTTTGCAATGGCTTATCCTCTAATCTGGCCAAACGATTTTCTACCAAAAGAATTTGTTGTTGTTTTGGTTGACGCATGGGCGGGCGGGGCGAGCTTCATGATCAGAGACAGAGCGTATTGGGCACCGAAAGAGAGGCCTATATATATATACCTCGGGGAATCTAGTGGGCAGGGCAACCAAATGACTCAGACTAGCAGCATCCATTTTCGAATGAAATAATAATAATCAAGAACAAAAGTGTCCAATGAGGCGTGGAGGAACTCTCCTGGAATTCGCTCCTTGAATGGGCTAAAAAGGTTGCTGCTGCTTTCCACACATCTTCAGCAACTCTGCTTCACCATATATATAACTGCCGCCCTTGGCAGATCTAGCAATCGCAGCCCGCAACTTGCAATCTCTAGCTCTAGAATGGGCTAGCTGATGATCATGCAAATCAGCCTTCAAGCGTAAGAGAGATTCGAATATGCTCTAGTACAAATGACACTTTTGAAGAGTTTGGGCTTCCTAGTGGAATTAGCAAAAAAAAAAAAAAAGTTGTAGCTAATAAAATATGACTACTCCCTATCGCCAGCTAATTGATTAGGGGGTGATGCACATGGAGACCCCGCTCAAATTTGATTCAAAGTCGTTCAAAGGTTTGTCATCTTCATGTAATGCCCCCTCCACACTGGCCATGGTATATGTTTTAGTTTTAGTTTTTTTTTTTTTAATTAGATATTACTTGAGTGATTCGAATTTGAGACCTCAAATTAAGAACAACTAGCATTACCAACGAACCAAATCCTGTTATATTAACATACTAATATAACTAGTTCTTTATGATTTTTATCTAAGGGGTGCCATGGAACCCCGTGTAGTAGCTCCGCCCCTAGACTCTGATATCATGTCAAAGAATGAATCTACGAACAAAGAAACACACATGCTTTCGTCAATAACACTAGTGATCTACATAGAGAATCTTCATCGCATGTTTTAGTTCCTCTTATTCGTTAATCGTTATTTATCACTAATTTACAACGATATATATATATATAGTTCGCTATACCAAACCCTATATAGAAAGTCAGGTGACTATTTACAATTTGGTACCTGTAACACCAGTTGAATCATCTACCTTCATTTTTTGTTGTTGTTGTTGTTTTGGCAATGGGGAAAATATAGATAAAATGATGAACTGATGCCAAACATGATTAGAGTATTGCCGAAAGGGTGGGCGAGAGAGAAAAGGGTAGGAGAGCAGCACCTTGAATGGCTTGGTTTGTTTGGGCGGTTTAGCTGCTGCTGCCATTCGCATGGAATGGAGTCCTTGTCAGATATACTAAAATACATACATACATACATATTGCTCCCTCCACTATACCAGCATGCAAGTATAAAAGAAAGCAACAGGACCAGTTTAACGAATTATGGAATCTTTCTCTCTCTCTCTCTCTTTTTTTTAATCTCTACTTCGTACGTGGAAGGAAATTAGACCTAAATAACAAGTTACTTAATCTTATTTTAGTCTTTTTATTATTGCGAGAATGGGAACCTCAACCTTAATATCCTCCTAATTGTCAACAAAAAAAAAAACCCTGAATCCTCCTTTGTTTTTTATGGATATATATGATATTGTATCTTGATGGAATGACGGTCCTGCGTGTTATAATCTCTTAATTTTGAGTGAGGTTAGATTTGAGGGGATGAGATTAAAAATATTTCTTTTGATTACCTTTCTAATTGAGTTGTATTCTTTTTGTTTTAACGTGAATTTTAAAAAAAATTACAGATGAAACCGGTTTATTACAAAAATTATATCATTTTTTTATAGATTTCGAGGAAACAAATTATACATGATCACCCTGATATCACTCTTTACCAGCTTCTTTTTTAACTCAAATTTCAAAATTTCTTACACAAAAAACGAGTTAATCGTGATCGACAAATTTCTTGAAAGAATTTTCGTGACCACATATTCCACCTTGATACAGGGTGGTGGTAAATAGTAGTAGATGTTGGTGAAATGTGGTAGATAGTGGTTAGTATAGTCCTAAATCATGGAGTTGAGTAGGGGCAGAAAATAATAAATTATGACAACAATTTCCCACAATTGAACCTAAATATTGGAGAATGGGGTTACTAGCCCGTATTCTACTACTTTCTAATGTTTTCTCAGTGTATACGCATACATACATTATAACCTTAAAAAAATAAAATTAGAATGATGATTGTAGCTCCTTCTGAACTACATATAGCTCCACAACGGCTAATATCCTCTTTGATAATGTATATAATACAATTTTGCTTTTGTGATCATAAGCAGCCTACTCTGATACGAGGCATTGTGAGCACGTTCTCATAAACATCCGAGCTCCTTATGGGTATCCCTAAAGAAGTGGAAGTTCTATGCAACAAGATGGAATGCTAACTAGAGCAACTTGCATAACAAATAATAACCTAGCTAGCTAGCTAGCTAACTAGTGCAACTTGAATTACTTAATCATCATGTGCAATTTACCAGGAAGATTCTCTTTGAATCCCCCAGCTAAAAACCCAACTCCATGGACTGGAATGGGCAACCGACCCACAGTAGTGAAAGTGAAAAAAATCATATCATTATGGGACGAACATGGGCTGGCGCCATGGATGAATCCTTTTGAGTGGAAGGCTTACTCCCCCCTCTTTTTGACTCTCCCTTCATTCCTCTCCTCCTCAGCTTTTTTCCCCTCACAGACAACCGTCATAATATGCAGCAACCCACATTCTCTCATAAAGAAATGGAAATGATAAGAAAGAAAAGAAAAGAAAGCTCACTTGGTCGGTTCTTGGCCACCAAACCAAAACAACAAATATTTGTATAATGTAAAAAAGAAGAAGAATATGGGTTCTCTACTTCTCTCAAAGTGAACTCCCTTCCCTCCACTATCCAATGCTAGCTGCTGCACTTCCACCTAAGTATATATAAGCGTGGGTTTACCCTTTCTGATTCTGCCTCTCATTCCATACCTGAATTCGGTTAAACTGTCCCCTCTCTCTCTCTCTCTTTTTCCCTTTTGCAACTTGCCATAGTCTACAATTCCTTATTCCCAAGGGTGAAGAGTACTACAAAGTAACTTGGCCTCCACTACCTCTCTTGCCACACATATAACAAAATTTGGAGACGACAACGACACTTCAATATTCTTCTTCTTCTTCTCAGTCACATTATTCAAAGTGAAAGCATGGAGTTTTCTACATTCGCATCGCTGTCATTTCTGCTCGTCACCCTTTCTTCCATGTGCAACATGGAGGCTAGGGTTCACCACCATAAACACAAACACCAAGCTGATCATCACTCTTCAGGTTCCATCTCCTACATTTCTGCACCCCCGACGCTCTCGCCGGAACCTTCATCGTCACCGAATCCGGGCATTGCCGCTCCTGCTCCTGCTCCTGTCGACGGTGCATATCCTGACAGAGTAGTGCTTGATGTGAGGGGATTCGGCGCAGTCGGCGACGGACTCACCGATGACACCAATGCTTTCAAGATGGCGTGGGATGCGGCTTGCCAGAAGAATGGCTCGGCGGTGATGATCCTCGTCCCTAAGGGTTTCACATTCATGATCCAATCCACCATCTTCACCGGTCCTTGCCAACCCGGATTGGTCTTTCAGGTAATCCGGATCAACTCGTCTGTCTGTTTGAATCAGTGGCGGAGGGACACGAGCCACCTCAGTACAATTTATAACAAAATTTTGAACTTCTCCTAATGACCGTTGTTCGAAATTTCTCAAAGCGTAAACTTTTATCATCAGCTCCTTTCGTTTAGATTTCTGGCTTTTTGAACCATGATGGGTATTTTGTGCACCTTTTACATGTCATGTTAATGCATGGAGCTTTTTGGTGTAGGTTGACGGGACGATAAGCCCGCCGGACGGACCGGAGGCGTGGCCGGAGAAGAACAGCCGGAGGCAGTGGCTGGTGTTTTATAGGGTTAACGACATGTCACTTGTGGGCGGAGGTGCGTTTGACGGCAGAGGACACAAATGGTGGGATCTTCCCTGTAAACCCCACAAGGTAGATAAATTAATTAATAAATAAATAACATTCCCTTTTAAAAATCTAGTTTTTTTCCCCCCTTCTGATGATGATTCATTTCTTAAAGTTTAAATTAATACAAATTGAGTTACATTACAATTAGGTATTTGCTAACATTCAATCATATGTTACATATTGGAACAGGTTGCAATAAATGGGACTAAGCCACATGGACCATGCGATAGTCCAATCGTAATTAATTTAATCTCTATTTCAAACTCATTTATGCTAACCAATTATGATTAATCACTTAATTTTTTTTTTTGTCTAAATAGGCTATAAGATTCTTCATGAGCTCCAACTTGAGTGTGGAAAGAATCCGAGTGAAGGACAGTCCACAGTTCAACTTCAGATTCGACAACTGCAAGAACGTCCACATCGAATCCATCCACATCACGGCCCCCGCTCTCAGTCCAAACACCGACGGAATCCACATCGAGAACTCCAATGGCGTCGGAATATACAATTCGGTGATCTCCAATGGTACGCACATCATCTGTCTCGTTATTAGGATCAACGAGTTTCTCAACCTAGTACTCATCTTCAAATACGCATACATATGTTTTCAAATTCAAACAGGGGATGACTGCGTATCGATCGGAGCAGGAAGCTACGATGTCGACATCCGAAATGTCACGTGCGGACCTAGTCACGGAATCAGGTAGGTCGAGCCCGGCCCGTTACCCTAGCTAAGCCACATTCATCTTATCGAATTTAAAAAAAAAAACGTACCTTAGGACTCAAGCAAAAAATATTTTTTTCTCTGGTTCCCCAGCATCGGGAGCCTGGGGAACCACAACTCGAGAGCGTGCGTGTCGAACATAACGGTCCGCGACTCGATGATCAGAGCCTCCGACAACGGGGTAAGGATCAAGACGTGGCAGGGCGGGTCCGGAGCAGTTTCGGGGATAACCTTCAGCAACATCCACATGGATACCGTCCGGAACCCGATCATCATCGACCAGTTCTACTGCCTGACCAAGGACTGCGACAACCAGACGTCGGCGGTCCACGTGTCGGACGTCGTCTACGAGAACATCAAGGGCACGTACGACGTCCGCAGCCCGCCGATCCACTTCGGGTGCAGCGACACGGTGCCGTGCACCAACCTCACGCTGTCGGACGTGGAGCTGCTGCCGGCGAAGGGCGACGTCGTGGCGGACCCTTTCTGTTGGAATGCCTATGGGGACTTGGAGACGCTCACAATTCCGCCGGTGTCGTGTTTGATGGAGGGCGCGCCGGCGAGGTCCTCGCCGGCGGCGGATGTCGTGGATCGTTGTTTGTAGCTCTCGAGTGGGATTTTTAGAGGGTCTAATGGTTGGAATTATGGGGGTAATGTTGTATTAGTGGAATTTTCCGATTGTTGATTATCAGACCATATCATATAATGGTGGTTGTGAAACTTGTTTTTTTTTTTAGGGTGCTTTGCTACCACCTCTACATTGTATAATGTGTTTGATCTATAAGAGGAGTAATGTGATTAAATTAAGGATAATTGGTGTTTATTATTTGAAGCGGTATTGCTTTTGTAGCATGGAAGTATAGTAGGTGTGCTCAAACTAACTTTTTGGTGATGATACCTTTTGGATAAAAACATTTGTCTTGTCTCGCGAACTTTTGGATTTGTATTGTTTGTATAATTGAGTGGATTGTGTTATTATATTGTTTATTCTAAAAGGCAATAATACAAGACAACAAAATATGTATAGTATTAGTACATGCTTGCTGAACACTTTCCTGTAATTACATAGTGGTTTTCTTTTCTTTTTGTATGAATGAGTAGAAAGTGGTGAAAGAAACAAATGGAGTTCAATTTCTAGAAAGTGTTTTCTTAAACAGTAAAGGTGACTGTGCCATTATGGGGTGTAAATAGCATCCATGACTTAAAATGAATTGTTATTTGTAACCCTAAACAAAATCCATTTGTAGCACTAAAATAATTAAATTACTATTTTGTCATTTCCCTTTTTTAAATTCAAATTTTCATAACAATCCAACCAAACACCTCTTCCCTTTCAACATATGTTGTCGTTTTCCTCTCAACTAACGTCGTCGTAGACGACGAGTTCTCACCGGCGATGCGCGTTTCCGCCAGAGACGACAGAGAGCAGCATCGCCGGAGAAGAGGAGATCAGAGCAGCCTCACCAGAAAAGAAGACTCAGTCGCCGGAGAAGAAGACCTAGTCGTTGGAGGTAAAGATTTTCGAATTCTTTACAAATGGCGAGGGTCAACGGCAATTTGACCAGCCGTCGTGGATGATGACGTCCATCCCAGATGTCGCCGGCGACCGCGTGATGCCCGATCAAGACGTTCGTCCACGCGGTCGCCTACGAGAGGTGGTGGTCACCTACGGGAGGTGGCGGTCGCCGGCGGCGAATTGAATAGGAGTGTTTGTTGGAAAGTTCTTGACTTTTTTTCTTGTAAGGTGTAAATTGCATGTATTTATAAGTGATGGATATTTATGCCCATTTTTAATTTGAAGTTAGAAATAAAAATAAAAAAAAGTTAGGGCTACAAATAGTACATCCTAACTTAAAAGGTCAAGACCATACATAAAGCTACACTTATCATTTATAGAAGGTCTCTAACTTTTCGTCCTGTTAATTTTAACTGTCCTTTTTTTAAGTTATAATTTAATTTTTTCACAAAAAAAATCAAATTAATTGTACTCTTCAAAATGAAATCCACTTCGATATATTTTGAAACAAAAAGTTTTTACATTTATTACCAATCTATACCATATGGTAATGCTTGACAGTATATAAAATTATACGACGTGGTTTGAAAATGTATCATGGTGGTATGAATATATCATAGTGTAGAAATGCTAACAATTAGTCAAGCGTTTTCTAACACATCAAAGTAATAGTCATTAGTCTGTTACCATTAACTATTTCTTAACGGTGCTCCACCTCAGCGTCCAACTCAGCTGTCACCTCATTAATGAATAAATGGGTTAAACACTAATTATTAGCAAACTTTTATCGCATTATTTTTTATTAGCCAAACCTATTGAATTCCTAATAATTGGTCAAATCTTTTGTAATGCATCAAAATATTAGCCATTTTTACGTTATCGTTAATAATCTTGTAATTCTTTCCTTAGTTAAATACTAAAATTAGCGGAATGTTGACAACTCGCCATCATCAAACGAAAAAGTTAACGTTTTGGCTATTTAATAGCATTTCGATAGGTTTGGCTAATAAATAAAAATTCGAAAAAAGGTTTGGCTAATAAATAATCATTACCTTCGTGTATCATGTACCTTGGAAATTCTGGGAAGAACAGAGCTCACAAAAATCTTTGATATTTTGAATGTCCTTATGTTCTGCAACATGTTGTTGGAATCTGATGAAATTGATTAAGCCCGCAAACTCAAAATATTAGAGATCATGCTCCTCTTATAGACGATCACTATTTTCATATACACTTTGGAGCCATTCAAACTCTTTAGCTCTACGATTATGCAAATTCTGTAGTAAAAGTAAAACCCCACCCCATCTCTGAAACTCATTTCTCCGAGGAAGCAGAAGGGCTCTTCCCCAAATTCGACATCCTCGAATCCGCTCCATTTATGGTCCAGGGACTCCCTGGCGTTCTGCCACCAGATTTAGGACTTCTCTCCCCTTTCAGCCGACTCGCCCGAGGGCTGTATGTGACCGAGCTCCGGGGGCTCAAGTTGCCTCTGTGATCAAGAGCTGTTGGTGTCCCCGTGCAGCTTGTGATCTTGGGGCTGCTTGTGTGCCTGAACTCGCCGCGGCTGCGAGTGATGACTTCGTCCAGAATCTCACTGTCCCCTGCCATTGCAGCACCAGCCCCCAGCTCTGTCTCCTGCAAGTTGAAAACAAAAGTATATATTTAGTTCTCTTGTGACTAACATTCGTCCTAGAATATCGACTTAACGATCCCCTGTGTAGTTTAAGGGAATGGATCTCAACTGTTGCTAGAGTGAATGGCAGGGCAGGAGCCTCCTCATACTCTGCTGCATCCAAGTCCTGCAAGTGTGCACCTTTGAAGAATTTCGGCAGAAGGTACTGTCTCGCCGGGATCAGAAGCATGATCATGAGAGGGAACATAACGCCGGCGATTGGAACCCATGTGAGACCAAAGCACACCAGCAGGTATGCAGTTTGGAAGATGGTGAAGGTTGCAATGCTCCGAAAGGGCACCGTTTCGACGAATGTGGCATGGTAATCCTCAAGAACCCTGTAAACAAATTTTGGAAATATAGTAAATTATCACAACATGTAACTAGCAAATTAATAATTTGTTTGGCTTGTTTGTTGTATTTACTTGTATCTCCTGCTTGGAGCTGTGAAGAGCAACAGGATCCTCTCCCAAAACTGGTTTCCTGGCAGGCTCTCAATGGCCATGAAGGCAAAGTATCCCCAAAGGACTGAGGTGGGAATCCTCTTGAGCAATGGCATGGCTGCAACGCAACCTCCAACCAAGGCCGATTGGAGCAGGTTGCTGACCCGTTGTTCTTTCACCTCGACGGGTAGTAGATCGTCGATCTCTTTCTCTATGTCGAACGTTGTCTCGTCGATTGGGGCATCGATCTGCCCCGTGCAGGTAGCTGTTTGGATGGTCGACTCCTTAAACTCCTTCAGACCCTGCATTCATTAGCCACATGTCAACAGACAGAAGGGGCCACAAACATGGTAATTTCTGTACTGAAACTTGTGATTGTGAAATTTCAAGTACTTGTGATTGCGAAGGCTGCTGGTAGATTAGAGGGGTTTGCATATTTTGATAGGCTTCTTGCATGTTCCCATATAGTTGTCCCAAGCTTGCATTGTTTCTGATGCTCCTTCGAGCTGCTTGAACTAGCCGGTTTCGTAGCAACTGCATATATAACACCATACCAGAACATGGCACTACGTTTAAACTCGGCTGGTATGATAAATTCTGTACTGAAACTAAGCTTCTGAATGACAATTACCTGTTGTTTGAGAGTGGCCAAGCTTTTGGTGTGCATAGGGGACTGTGGAATGACTCCATTTGCCGGCGGAATCCCTAGCAGACCACACAACAATGTCTGCAAGAAAAAAGCGCGGTAAGGTAAGATGTCTCGCGACAAACTAATGCTAGATGGTAAGAAGATGGCTTTCTATGGCATCATATTACCAAGAATCCCAAGAGGAGCAAATCGTAATGGTACGAAGATGGCTTCCTCAAGTTGAACTCTTTCTGCTGAGCAAGCTGGGAAGCTACACTGTGGTCGAAATAGTACAGCACAGCAATCATGGTTGCAGGTATGAAAGCCCCAACTATGTACAGAACAGGAACGTCCATCATTTCCTGCGCCATAATCGATTTGTGTCAACTTTTAGCTCAAAGGAAAACTTGGGTTCAAAGCATATTGGAACAATGATAATGATTGATAACATGGTTGGTTGATTAGGAAAAAACATGCCTTAATGACTGTCCAATTATCATAAGCACCAGGGGACCATGGATTCGGGCTGAAAAGTCGTCGAGGAATCCCTTGAGGTACACTTTTAGTTGGTATGTAAGACACAGCTGTCCATGCCAAAACCATTAAGGGCACTCCATAGTCTGCAATTAAGCTCCTCAACCAGCCTGTCCATAGCAAAAAGAACAAAATTAAATAAAGAACAATTTACACCGGTTAAAATGATCACTTTATGGAACCAACTGGTTCTTGACATAGACATATAATACGTACCAGAGCCATAGCGCCAAGACCTTGCCTTCCGGCTCTTTAACGCAGTTAGGAGGAGGCCGAACGACAGAACCAGGGCGAACAACCCATTGGCGAACCTCCAGGAAGGGATGAATTGCACAGATTCTGGATCCTCACGTTCCGGAATCCGAAATTCGTCCACAAGTCCCTACAAACCGAATCGTAATGAGCACATCAACCCGTAACGACATTTTGTTACCACAACATGAATGAACTATTATTAGCCTATACCTTAATTGCCTGTTGCATGAAGAGCATAGCTATGAGGAGGCCAAACAATTCCCCTGCCAGGCGGGTGAACCTGTTGATGATGGAGCATGCTCCGAGGATTGCCAGCGCGAACAGCAGAAGCGCCGTCCACACGCACACCCTGTTTTCGACAAGTAGTATTGTTACTCTGCTTAGCTACAGAGGTTGATCTAAAACAGGGGTAAGAATGGTGTTTTTCTTTTTCTTTTTTTCTTTTTTTTTTGTTGAAGAGCTCACCAGCCAGACCAAGCGAGGAACAAGTTGGGTCCGAGCTCGGGCCGCTCCTTGGCGAAATTGAACATGAACGTGTACATGATCACGGTGGGCTCTGCCACTCCGAGTATCAGCAGCGGCTGGCCTCCGATGATGGAGTGTATGATTCCGCAGAGGGCAGTGGATGCCAGGGTTTGAACCGCCGTCAGAACTCCACCTGTGTGGAAAACATTAATACGATACTAGATTCGTGATTTGAACTAACTCTCTGCATTTTTTTATAGAGACACAGAACAGTGACTCTCGACAAGCAGCAGAAGCGAAATGTTGTCTTACCGGTGCTCCTCTCGAGCTGTTCGCCAAAGGAGATGACCGGAATTGCAGAAGCGAAGAAGATGTAAGTGGTGGGAGCCAAAATCCTGCCACGGAGAAGAAAACAAAACTGAATCAAACTACCATTACAAGTACAACAATGTATGTATGTATGTATTTGAGCAGGAGAATGAAGAAAAAAAACAGGGGAGGAAGAAAGAAAAAGAAAACAGACCTGAAACCAGCTCGGATGCCGCCAGTCCAGTCCTGCTTGTAACAGAGCAACCTTCCCCGGAGATCGTTCTTGATCCCTTGGAAGGGAACGAAGGTCTCCTCCATGAGCTTCTGCAGATGGGTCTCTGAGAGAAAAAAAATGGCGGTGAGTTTGTATGAATGTTAAAGGGTTGACCTGAAAGCTTTTTAATAGAGGAGGGAAATTGCTGGACTGGGGGAGAGTGGTTGGTTTCCAATGTTTGTGTGTGCTGTCAGGAATCAACGCGCTGTATTGCAAAAGAAGGAAAGGGCGTTCATTATTACTGATAACAATTTTATAATTGTAGAAAATATGGTCTGAAAAAGGGAGCGAGGTTGAATCTCGGGAAACTGCAGGATTGGATTGTTGAAGAGGGAGGGAATGGAACGAGAGAAGTGGTGGGATTAGTGACAGCAAAGTGCTGAGGGGATTCTCCGGTTATGGAGGAGAACATCACGATGCTTTTTTGATTCATGGGATTGACATGTCAGACTCATTTGACCAACCAAGTAACGATCTTGATTTAATTACCACGTAATGATTGTATGCATGATAGTAGGAATATATCAGTGGTCAATATGTCATTTTATAATATCACACTAGTTGTAGCTGGGGTAGTATATGATGATACATTTGGTTATGAAAAAACAATACTCAGAAATTTGTAGATGTAATAGACAACAATAAACTCGTTTCTCCTGTGCAAAAAAATTCAAAATTCGGATTAAAAACGAAGATGGAATAGTATGAGGGTGGCAACAAGTGGTATGGGTGGTATGAAATGTTTCTTGAAATATACCGAAAACGAATATCATTTTGTAGATCACAACGAACTCGTTCAATCTATGCAAAAAAATTTGAAATTCAAGTTAGAACAATGAAATAAAATTAATTCGCTTAGATCTCGCCCAACTTAAAATCAAATGACCAGATCTTAGGTATCATGGATAACTAAGGGGTTATGGATCCTATCATGGACCTAATTTGAGTTTGGGTAGGAGCAGATTCATGGCTTTTTAGGTGTCTTGGGACACCAGTAAAATTTAGAGATATCTTAGTAATATTTTAAATTTGGAAAAAAAGACTGCTTCTGGGTGCTTTGCCCAGGTGGTTTAGAGAGTATAGAGCATCTATTTTGTGGGTGCTTTCTTTCTATACATAATGCAGGTTGTCTTCCCTATTTGCATTCTAGATTTCAGTGACTGGGATTCGCAGATAACCTTATTATAAAAAATGTGGCAGGGACGTTCAGACTATGTTCGAGTTGGCAGGCTCTTATGGAGGCTGGTTATTGGACATGTGTGAAAGGAACGCTGTCGTCGTCGGTATGGTGATGGTGGAATCTCTACTCCCATGCAGTTAGTTGCTAGAATCCGGCTCGAGGTTGACTGCTTAGTTACAAAAAGTCTGCAGCTTGCTCGAGTTCTTGATAGATTTTTCCCACAAAGCATAGTTACTGTATAGATGTAGTTGTTCTCATAGGTTGTAACAAAGTACTTTTGAGAGGACCTGGATGTCCTGGCGCTTAACAATAATTTTATTCTAATAAAAAAACCCTAACACTATAATTATTAGAGAAATGTTATTCATTACATCACAAATCAATTGTTGTTAAGTTTAAAACATAGATGTAGTTATAATTAAAAAAAAAATCCAAGTAAGCCCTTATTTTCAAAAAAAATTCATTCAAACTTGAAATATAAACTCCCAATTTTCTTTGTAGTTGAATAAATTCTCAATTTTCGTCCGTCTTATATTGAACTATCAGGTTGACCCTCCAATTTTAATTGACTTGCAGTGAGCGTTCATTTTTTTTTATTTTATCATTAGATTTTTCTTTTGAATTTAAATTAATTGGAAATTATGAAGTAATAATAAAAGTGAACATGATAATTGATTTCGTATATTTTATTCAAGTGTTTACATATCCAATCAATTATTGTTCATGAGTATGAACCTTTTATGAGTACCTACCATAATTATCATCCACCACCAATAATTAGTAAAGGTTTGACATTTTTATGAAAAAGATGCAAGAAGCCAAGAACCACGGTCTCAAATTAAGCAACAGTATTATGTATTCATCTAATTGACTAATTCCCAATCCACAAGTAAAACCTATTGTTATAGAACAAGTAAGGGTGAGATGATATCTTTCAAATGAGATAAGAAACTTCATACTCTCTTCACACCTATAGACTAGTCGTCAATTGTCACAAATACGAGCATCCACATCAATAATATTCATTCAATTGCAAATCCTACATAACACTTAATATAGAATTACAAAGAGGATTGCACCATCGTAGTGGGAACTTCAACGATGTAAGCTTGCATGATATGAAATTGAAGATGCAAGCCACATAGAAAAATAAAAAAAAACAATATTTCATTTTTCTCCTTTGATTTATTTATTTATTTTATTATAAAGTCATTTAAAGTCGTGTATATGCAATTACAAGTGAATTGCATTGATGTAGGTGCAATGAAATAAAATTGAGTTGAATTGCATAAAGTTTTAGATAATAAGAATAACATATGTAATTTTTTTGTAATTGCATTAATGTGGATGCTCTAACAATATGCGGAATGATAGGTGGTCGGGTCGTGGGTTAGAGTAGGATGTATAACTCTTGGTCATGCAGTTGTGTATAATTATTTTTCATCCCTTAATTTTTGCGAGGAGTTTAATGACTGCTCCGCTTCAACTCAAAGTTTTTTTTGCACATTGTAAGTCGTCCGGATAATAGGGTAGCTCATGATGTGGCTAAGAAAGTCCTCCCTTTTATCTTCTCTTACTTTGAGCAGCTTTTGTGCTCGACTTCGTGCGGAGTTCTGAACGGTGTATCTTTGTTATTTTGATAATACAAACTATTTTTGGTTAAAAAAAATATTGTTATTAATTTGATTTAAATTTCATAAGAGGAAACTAGACAAATATTTTGGTCCGTCGCCTACCCTCCCCAAAACAGAAACCATTATGCAGCGTTTTTTACGTTAGCAGCGAATGGAAAATTAGTAGCAGACTTGCTGTCCTCCATAATTGCGTTAGAGTTTGTTAAGGGTTTCATTCAGCCAGCACATATTTCCCATTTCTTCCCACAGGTCCGCATCACTTGCTGAGAATTTCTTTTGTACATGTTTTTCTCCTTTTGTTCTCTCATCTTCCTTCGACTACTGATCAGGAATAACAATTGAGGTTTGATTTTAATGATGCCACATCCCCATCACTGCATGTTTGAGATTGACATTTGAGTCATCATTAGCCAGTCTTGTGGAGATTGAAATCAAAGAAAATTAGTTTGGTCTGGGGGTTTCATCATTTTTAGCCCGCTTATACGCTTTGGACTCTTCAAATATTGTAGCCTATTGAAATACTAATAATTAGCCAAAAGTTAACTTACAATTAGCAATTTTATTAGTAATATTGACTTGGGAAAATGATACTAACTTGGAAGTGAGACATGGATGTTAACATTACAAAACTTGAGTATTTTAACTAGAACAAGAATTAAAAATTATTGGGCGGAGTTGCATTGATTTGTAATTTAATTTATATGGAGGACCTCTTCTATTATTTGCCACTTAAACCTAGCTGCTTGTGGCATTAGTCGAGTAGGTCAGCCGCCATTCTCCTGGTACTTAAGTGATGGAGATTGGCTTCTCCCTGTAACAGAATAACAAATTAGTGAAGCTTTGCTTGAGAGCGTTGCTCTCCGTGGAGTAGTCCCGGTACTCGGGGAAACCACGTTAAACCCTCGTGTTCTTTATTCTTCCGCGTTTTACAAGTATTTACATGGTATCAGAGCAATAAGATTCAGCAACCACACGTTCTCTCGACATGGGGAAGACTGACGAGACTTCTAGCGGCGGCTCGGGTGTTGATGCCTCTGGAGATAGCCCGATCTCGGTTAGCTCTCCACTTTACCTTCATCCCTCGGAGAACCCTGCGCAATTGTTTGGCAGTGATCTGCTAACAGATTTGAATTATGGTGAATGGGTTAGTGATCTCACTGAGACATTGATCGCCAAGAATAAGATGGCCTTTGTCGATGGCTCCTTCCCTCGCACCAAAGCTATTCCCGGCCTTCAACAAGACGCCGGGGATAGATGCGATGCGACCGTGAAGGGTTGGCTCAAGACGGCCATGTCCCGTGAGCTCCGGAACAGCGTGCGGACAGCCGCCACTGCTCGTGATATATGGAGCGATCTGCAGCGTCGTTTCAGTCGCGGTTCGGCGCAACGGGCCTATGAGCTGCGACGCAACCTCAGTTCTGTTCGGCAGGAAAAGCTTTCAGTGTCCGCCTTCTATACGCAGCTCCGAGCCGTTTGGGATGAGATGTCTTCGATAGGGGGAGATCTTCGTTGCCGCTGTGCTGGATGCACGTGTGGAGGCTGCTCATGTGACATACCTCGCCAGCTACAATCTCAGCGGGAAACGGACCATCTTTTTGAGTTCTTGATGGGGCTCGATGACTCCTATTCGGTGGTTCGATCACAAATCCTCAGCACAAGGCCGACGCCGACCCTTTCTGATGCGTATCAAATGGTCTCTGCCGAGGAACAGCATCGACAAATAACTGCTGGGCGTCGTCCACTCATTGAGACGGCTGCGTTTCAGGTTCAGAACGAGAAGGAACCACCCGATGATCGGCCGCGATGTTCACATTGTAACAAACTTGGTCATCATCGGGAGACCTGCTATCGGCTGATTGGTTATCCTCCGGGTCATCCACGCGCCAACAAACAAGGGGATGTCCATGGTGGAGCACGTCGTTCCAAGGCTGCCCATGTGGAGCCCGATGCTCCCTCTTCTATCCCTGGACTGTCCGCGGCACAACTAGCTCAACTCAAAGAGTTTTTGGCTTCAACGGACACCTCCTCGTCTCCTACAGCTCATATGACGGGTAATGTTTCTGAATTTGATGATTGGTTAATTGATTCAGGTTGTAATGAGCATATAGTTCGCGATGTTAGCTGGATGGAGTCAGTAGATGGTCACTTTCAGCCCTCGCAGGTTCGTATACCTGACGGGAGTGGGGTCCCTGTTCACGGGGTTGGGACTGTACGTCTCACTAGTTCCATTTGTCTCAATCGGGTCCTGCATGTTCCGGGTTTCAAGTGCAATTTGTTATCAGTTAGTCGCTTGGCTCAAGATCATAACATCGCAGTGACTTTCTTACGTGATTTCTGCGTACTTCAGGCCTATCCTTCCAAGACGCTGATTGGAGTGGGTCAGCTTAGAGATGGACTATACTACCTGAGTCGTTCTGATCACATGGGTTCAGCTCGCGCATGCACGACCACTGGACTGGGAGATCCGACACGACTCTGGCATGCCCGGCTGGGGCACCCATCGTTCGATAAACTTGCTTTGTTAAAAGATTCTTTGGGTT